AGTTACAGAGATGACACAGGAGAGAGGTAAAGCTCTGCTAGAAATGGAGCAGAGACATTCCGAACAGCTTGGTGACAATTGGTCAGACTGCAATTGATGGTAAAATAATCATTTATGCTTCAAAGAAAGAATGGGAAAAGAAATCAATAGTGACTGCTAATGTGCCACCAAGAGATTGGAGAGCAGTTGCTAAGGAGGTATTAAAGGGAGCTTAAGCTGAACCATACTATTATTCTAACCCCCTTTGAGGACTGTAAGGCCCTTTTGGAGCTGGTAGGGGTGAAGGTTGGGATCGATGTTGTCTGCTTGAAGTTGGATTCAGGTACAGTTACTATCTCCAGATGGTCTTCTGAGTCTAATTCCAAGAGCTTCAGTGTGGAGGACAGAGTTCTGGTTCGGCTGCTAGGCTTGCCCTTTTATTCATGGAGGACAGAAGTGTTTTGTTCCATTGCCTCCCTTCGCAAGGCCCAATTGATTGGAGTTTTTGTGAGACTTGTGTTCAGCAGTTGTCTGTTAGAGTAGTGTTTGTCCTTAAGATGTCCCTAGAATGGTGAAGGAGTGAACACATGGCATTGATAAAAAAAAGGTGTGGACCATGTGGTCACATGGAGTTTTCTGCCCCATCTGGTTGGTGGCTGCCATTGAGGTCTCCCTGTGGCATGAATGAAGAAATGTTGAAGAAGAATGCTTACGTGGACTTCAGGGAGTGGTTAGTTCAAATTGGTTTGAAAATTTCACGAATATGGAAAGTTTAGGGGAGGGGATATTAAAAGGGAAGAAAATTGATACTGAGCTAGAAAGATTAACATCAAGGGAACACTAATAGTCTTACAAGGGTAGGCAGGTCATCTGTACAGGATAGCTTTGGGCAAACAAGTGGTAGGCAGGTTAGACTAGAAGGGAACACTAATAGTCTTACAAGGGGATGCGAACTGACTCAAAGCTCCTTTGACCAATCTGATCAGCAAGGCAAGGTATCAACTAATGCTAATTTAGTCCTGAGCCACGTAGGCACCAGCAGAGAAGGTTCTCTCTTAAACTCCTATTGTTAGTGGTGGTAGGGCAAGTAGTGGTGAGTGGAAAGCCCATTTGTTTGACATTGGGCTAGGCCTTGGTGCAAAAAAGATGGACCCAGTTGAGTTATGTAATAGGGTGGACCAGGTTGAGTTTTGTAAAAAGGATTTAAGTGGGCTGGACCCACTAAATTTAAAAGTACCTGGAATGTGTCCAAAGGAAATAAACAAAGGGGTATTGAATGGGCCAAGCCTGTTATTAATTAAGAAGGAGGAGGCATGTGACTTTTTAAGAGATCAAGTAGGTGGTATTAATGGGTCAACGGTAGATGCAATGTTGGGTCTATCGTTGTCCCTTTGTCGACTGTTGCCTTTAGTCGAGGGACTAGGGGCAGGAAAGCTCCATTCGATGGGTGCCAAAAGCAGCTAATAGGGAGCTATCATCACCCAAACGCTTCTCATCCATCTTTCCATTTCTGCAAATTGGGAGGGAGGGGGTTTTTTTGACCCTACAACCTTCAGGTGGCCTAAGAGAAGAGGGAGAGTATTGTGGAGATGTGTTAGGGTCGCCTTAGTATTGATAGTATGGGAGGAAAAAAATAACAGGATATCTGATGATAAAGAAACGGATGAGGCTACTGTGTGGGATTGTTTGATGATTAGGACTATTTATTGAGTTAAAGCGTTGGATCTTTTTTTTCACATTTCTCTTTTGTTGACATGTGGAGAAAATGGGAATTAGTTGCAAAATCTTCTTTGGTTAAGGATAAACCTGTTGTAGCCTGGAAACACCCTAAAGAAGGTTTATAAAGCTAAACTTTGATGGCAATAGCCTTGGTAATCCTAGGTGTTCTGGTATTGGAGGTGTATTCAGGAATGCAGAGGTTCAGATTGTTGCCCTATTCTCTGGTCCAATCGGGGAGCATCTCATGCCTCTTTGGGGAACTCTTTGCTGTATCTTTTGTTAGTTCATCTTGATTAATTTTAATAAAATGCTTTATTATTTATCAAAAAAAACTAGGCATTATAGACACACCTTGAGAGAGGTAATTAGCCTAATAAAAAAAAAACTAGGCCTCTGTTTCAGCTTGACATAAAAAATGCCTTCCTCCATGGTGATCTGGTGGAGGAGGTATATATGGAGCAACCACCTGGGTTTGTTGCTCAGGGGGAGGATGGCAAGGTGTGCAGACTGAAAAAGACAATTTATAGGTTGAAGCAATCACCACGTTCTTGGTTCGGGAAGTTTAGCGAAGTGGTGAAGAGTTTTGTAATGAAGCAATGCCAGGTTGATCACTCAGTGTTCAGCTATGACTCAGAAGCTAGGAAGATCTAATTAGTGGTCTATGTGGATGATATTGTCATTACTGGCAGTGATAAATTGGGGATTGGCAAACTAAAAGTATTTCTGCAAAATCATTTTCAAACAAAAGACCTTGGAACATTAAAGTATTTCTTGGGAATAGAAGTTACCAGGTCAAAACAAGGTGTAAATCTGTGCCAAAGGAAATATGTTCTTGATCTATTGGAAGAAACAGGACTGTTAGGTGCAAAACCGRYTGARACYCYTAYGRAACCAAATGTTAAGTTGAGCAGTGATACAGGAGAAGTATTTGA